TCTTTAAGAAAATATTCTGAAATTCCTACTTTTATAAAGAAGGTTACAAAAAATAATTTGTAGGAAATTCCATTCTCTTCCAATTCCACTTTTCCATAAACTTTTTGCACCCCCTTTATTGAAGAGACACAGTGTTGGGCACTTTTCATACTTACTTATGTTTAATCTCAGGAACAATTCCACAAAATAGATTTTATGAATCCCTTCTGTGGATGGGGAAATTGAAAGCAAAGCACCTTGTAAAAGGCAAACAACAGCTGAATGGGGCGGAGCTGGAACCCCACTCCATGGTCTCCCATTCCAAGTACCTCTGATGGCAGTTGCCAGTTGGAGTTTATGTGTTAGTTACAGCAAGATGAGTGTAAAAAGTGATTGCTTGAGACCACAAAAGGCTCAATTGATTATCTTCATGATATTGAAAATAGTCCTTTAAGTACAGGATATATTTTGATATAAATCTGTTTAGCGGTTGGAAATATGATAGGTCAACAACAAAAACTTCTAGGTGAAAAGTTTATATATAGAAACTTCTATATATAACTTCTCATATATATGGTGTGTATATATGAGATGTGTGTGTGTATATATAACAGTGTCTTTATGACAATGACAATATGAAAAATTACTCTTCAAGTGTCCAAGGTATTTAGAGTTTCTTTAAAAGAGTATGCACCGAACCTACATAAGCATAATAGAGTGTAGTTTTGACTAATAGGGTAAGATCTCACCCACACTTTTTAGAAGATGCAAATGAACATCCACCTCTTTTCATACACACACAAACACACACACAAGAACTTTGGCTGCATAGTACTTACCAATTGGGCCATGATCCACAAGTTCAGCCGTTTAAACCTCTAGCCAGCTCCTCAGGAGAAAGGTGGGGCTTTCTACTCGGGTAAAGAGTTACATTCTCAGAAACTCATAGGGGCTGCTCTGCCCAGCCTTCTCAGGTTGCTATGAGTTGGCATTGACTCTGTGGCAGTGAATTTGGTTTTACACACATGTACACAAAACTACTTGTATATACTAGACTTGGTCAGACCTTAAGACTCAATAACATTTTCATGGTACTCCTAGACTAAAAGAAATATTTAGTAATCAATGTTATGAAACATTAAGGTCCAGACTACTTGGTAGTCCCCACCCTGCCTGATAAATGCTTCCATATTAAGATACAAGCATATTCTGCTCACTCCTGTGAAACAGCTAGAACACTGTGGGGAATCTTGCACACAGTTTGGGGGCCAAGGCGATATCATGAGGAAAAATCTCTGTGATATGTAGGCTTCTTGTGACAACATGGCCAATAAACACATGTGATTAATTGAAGGGAGGAGAGAAAAATGGCTCAGTGAGCCTCGCCTTTCTTGTCTCTTGCTCTTTGAGGATCAGACCAGTGTGTGGCTACCTTAGATGGCTCTCTGCCTCAACTTGCAAACTACACTACCTGTGTGACACCTAACCCGTGGACTGTGTCACTGTAGTCTGAGGTTCCTTCAAGAACTGCTTCACCATGCTACTGAAGTATACATCGCTTGAGCTGGGGACTGTTGGACCCTGTCATCTGGCTGTTGATGACCTGTCTTGCTGTTTGCTGCCTCTGGCCGGATAGCCTGAATTGCTCTACAGAGGACCAGCTGGCAGCTCTCAAGACGTGAAGAACTGCCAGTGTCTTAGCTGTCTCATGGAAGTGAGTTGCACTGAGCCATTTGTATTGCTGTATAGGTTAATTAACTGTTTATTTCTTATGTTATATATCTATCTAAATAAATATATATATATAAAAACATTAGTGTCCTGGTTTTGTTCCTCTAGAGAACCCTGTGTTTCCAGTTGCTATCTGTACCAATGTACATCCTCTGGTCTAGCCAGATTTGTAAGGTAGAATTGGGATCATGATAGTGGGGAGGGGAGGAAGCAATGAAGAACTAGTGGGAAGTTATATGTTTCATTGTTGCTACCCTGGACCCTGATTGGCTCATCTCCTCCTCTCAACTCTTCAGTGAGTGGGTGTTCAGTTGCCTACCGATGGGCTTTGAGTCTCCCCTCTGCACTCACCCACCTTTACAATATTTATTGTTTTTTGATACTTGATACCTGATCCCTTCGACAGCTCGTGGTCATGCATGCTGTTGTGCTTCTTCCATGTGGGATTTGTTGCTTCTGAGCTAGTTGGCCGCTTGTTTATCTTCAAGCCTTTAAGACCCCAGACGCTATATCTTTTGATAGCCTGGCACCATCAGCTCTCTTTACCACATTTGCTTATGTCTGATAACTCCAAGAACTGAAAATCATATCAGTGGGTGCCCGCCTTACTGACACGATCACTGAAGACAAACGTGTGCATAAGCTAAATTTAAATAAAATTTAAATTTGGGAAACTTAATTATTTAACATAAAATGTGTTATGTTTACATTTTTAACAGAAATTGACAAGCTGGAAATACAGATTACTTGATTAGTCCTTTTCCCTTACCCCCGGATAACTGATTTCTGAATTGAGTTGACTGATAAACCAGTGTCTTTATTTAATTATTTTCAATTTTCTACTTATTATATATATTTTAAAACATTTAATTTAATAATACACTATTATTTACTCCTCCTTTGATATTTAGATATATTTCCCTATTTTAAGAAATAGGAAGGCAAAGTAATAAATAGATTTGGATTCAAGAAGAGGTGTGGTTTCATGGCTGATTATGTTGCTGGTTATATATGTCACTATTTAGAAAAGTAATTTACATCCTTCTGAATAAGAATGGTCTAAAACATCCTTTAAAGCTTCTTTTTTAAATAGCTCATTTATTCTGGAGACTTTGGTTATGCTGTATTTTATCTGTTTATTTATTGATGTGCATTCTACTAATTAAAAGAGGTTTACAATCACATTTGGTTTGTTTCTACTCTGCAGAGTATTTCTACCATATATATATAAATTATTTTATTGAGGGCTCATACATTTCTTATCACAGTCCATACATACATCCACTGAGTCAAGCACCTATGTACACCCGTTGCCCTCATCAATCTCAAAACATTTGCTCTCCACTTTAGCCCTCAATATCGTTTGCTTGTTTTCCCCTTCCCTCCCCTCTCCCCCCACCTCCCTCCTGAACCCTTCATAATTCATAAATTATTATAGATTTGTCATAAGTTACCCTGTCCGATGTCTCCCTCCGCCCTCTTCTCTGCTGTCCATTCCCCAGGGAGGAGGCTATACTTAGATTCTTGTAATTGGTTCCCCCCTTCTACCCGACATTCCCTTCACCCTCCAGGGCTCGCCCCTCTCACCACTGGTCCTGAAGAAGTCATCTATCCTGGGTTCCCTGTGTTTCAAGTTGCCATCTGTACCAATGTACATCCTCTGGTCTAGCCAGATTTGCAAGTATGTCTGCCTTATATTTTTTAAGGGGAAAATATCTCTCTTCACCAAAGACTTGTTTTTCAGAAAAATGGGACATTCTAACTCAACTTGTGATGAGTAAGGTTCTGTTTTAATTTAAATGTAATTAAAGGTGTTTTAATTTAAATGTAATTTTTCTCTGTTGGGACCATTTCAATTTTCCTTCTCTTGGTATCTTTATTTTATCATGTGACAATATTCTAAAACAACAACAACAGCAACAGATCATCAGTGTTTTTGATTAATAAATTAATGTAAAACATTTAGGGTTTTTTTTGTTTTGTTTTGTTTTTTTCTTTTTTATTTAATTTACTTCTAGCTGGTCATGGTCATGCCAACTGCAAGGAAAGGCCCCAGCTGCAGGCCAGAGCCCCCAGGGAGTAGCGACATCACAGAGTCTGGGGGGCAGGGGAACTGTGGCAGGAGGGGATGTGTGTGGCCCAAGAATGCCAACACAAGACTCCCCAAAATCAAATGTAGGGGAGGCTCACAGGACAGATCAGAGTGTCCCAGCCTGCTCCCTGCTCTTAGAATTCCTAGCACAAGGTCATTAAGAAGGTGCCCACCTGCACCTCCACCTTGTCCCCTCCACGGGAGAATCACAACGGAAGTAATGTGTGTCTTCAGCACACTGAGGATCAGGAGACAACTCCGACCTCCACGCTTCGAGCCTACGTGACAGCTGAGCACCTTCCTAGTGCAGACACGGTGCTCGGTTCCCTGCCTAATACTGCAGATGGGGGGGTGGAAGGTGGAGGTAGGGGCTACAAATAAGCTCTCATTATTTGCAGACAAAGGTCTGGGGGTTCTACCCCCAGTGCCAACCTTCATTGCTCTGATAGGTTAGTTAAACAGAGAAAGCATGGCCCCATGGGCAGCAAGGCAGTTTTCTAGCCCTGCCTCAGAGGCCTGGCCATCACTCGCGGTGGAAGGAGGAATGAATGGCTTTATCCTGTTTTCTCTGGCCTGACATGCTGTGGCTCTCCCTTGTTCTGGAAGCTTCTGGCTGCCCCTGCCCTATGTTCTGGCTTGGTCTCCCAGGGCCTGGGACAGGGAGGAGGGGGAGGTGTGGTGGCTAAGGAGCTCACTAGGTTGGGTCAGTCTTCCTGAGCCTACTCCCAGGGCTCCCCAAACTTTGGTTCATTTCACACTGGAGCTCCTTCAGGGCTGGGGGCAGGGCGGGCTGTAAAACTCACCTGGGCCTCAACACCTGGGTGGAGGGAGCCGGGGGCCTTCTCTGGGAAGAGATTCTAGCTGGAGCCTCCCCCAACCCCGTCTCTCACTTCCTGCTTCAGCAACCCCCTCCCTTCTCCATGTGGACGCCGCTCACCAAGCAGCGTCAGAAGTGAACGCATGGACAAGATAGCCTTCATAAAGTTCTGTAATACTAGTAGGCGGGTGGGGTGGCGTTTTGTTCTGTTTCTGAGCAGCGCCGGCCTACATGCAGCGGGACGTGCTCCTTCCCTGGGAGACTGGGAAAGCCAGCCCCTGGTGGCTAGCTCTGATGTAAAATTATAAAATAGAAACTCTGGTCGGGTTTGTTTTGTTTAAAGAGGAAAAGCCCGGGTGAGGCGGGCGGCCTGCAGTCCTGTTAGTTCTGGTTGGTGGGTCTGCCCACGTTGTTCCCGCCGGGCGGCTGGATCTGGAAGGAGTCCAGGAGGGGCCTCAGCACCTGCCCAAAGGGTGTGGAGAGGACTTCGGAGGGAAGGTCAGTGATGTACGATGGGATCTCCCTCCCGGTCAGGAACTGGGCCACTTCATTGCTGAAGGTGTTGCAGTTGTGTTCCAAGAGGTTATAAGCCTCTCCTCGGAACAGAGACTCTCCCAGGGAAGACAGGTACTCCAGGAAGATGTCTTTGCTGACTTCTGTGCTCCCCACGTCCACCACCGAGTCTGGGGGCCCAAGCAATGTCCCGCCCGGGGGACAGCTGGAGATGCCGCCACTGCCGAAGAAGAACTCATCCCTGTGCACCACTATGGAGGTATGCCAGATGCCTTCCAGCTGTTTCCCCAGCATGATGGGGCTGAGCCGCCGGGCCAGGCCCTTAGACAGGTCGTACACGTAGAGCATCACCGGATAGAGATGCGGCGGCTCCATCAGGACCCGTCGCGGCGGCGGCCACGATGTCCTTCGGGCACCCGGCAGCGGCTCCGACCTTCCCGTACCCGACGGGGTGGGGAGCGGGGGTCAGCGAGCCCGGACCAGGCCTGAGGGGCGGAAGAGAGGCAGCCC